CGGCCATGATCATACACAAACTCAGTCCCAGTCTCTCAGTCTCTGTCTCTGTCTGTCTCTCTGTCTCTCTCTCTCTCTCTCCCTCCCCCTCCCCTCCCCCTCTCTCTCCCCATCCTATGCCTTCCCTCTTCTCCCCAGTGGTTCTGTCCCTACCACTGCTTGCTTTATTCAACTTCATATGTGCTGAAGGAGAAACTTCTTATCTTGGAATATATTACTTATCCTAAGTTCTAGGATTGTTTTCCACAGAAAAATTGTGTGGTGATTGCACTCAGTGTATTATAAATATGAGAAGGATTGGCGTGTTTAAAATGCAGTCTTCTCATCAACTTGTTTAAGTTCTTTCCCCCACCTTGATACTGGAAATCGAACTCGGGCCCTTGTGAAGCAGGTGGCAGAACCACTGAGCCAAATCCCAGGCCCTTTAAGTTCTCTTTTTATACCTCAATGAAGATTAATTGTTTTCTGCAAAAGAACAAAATAAAAGTGTCTCTTGTTTTTGTGTATTTCCCCCAGTTGATTGACAGGATATTCTTTTGGTGTTGGCTACGTCTTTTGGTGTTAGTGTTAGATCATTCTTATTGTTTTTAAAATGCTCCATTAGCTAACATTATTATGTAGGAAAGGTATTGATTTTTGCATTTTGATCTTGTTCCAGTTATTTAAATTTTTCACTTGTCCTAAAAGTAATGACCTTGTTCTGAGCCTTAATGAAAGTAACTCTAAAGTTTTCTTTATTAGGATTGGTCATTCCTGTGAGTTTGGGGTCCATACACTTTAGCAAATAAAAAGAGATTCTTTCTATTCCTGGTTTGTCCAAACTGGTAGAAAGAGCAGATGTGAACTTTGGCATCTTTTGGGATGACCATGTGGTTTTTCTCATGCATTTGTTAGTGTAGTGTATGGGCATTAGAACTATGTTTGGCCGTTGATAACAGAGGAGAAATAACAGAAGATTTAGTAAAAGGGGGATTATTTCTCTCTCATGAGAGTCTAGAGTGAAGCACCCGAGATGACTTTGCATCCCACAAACTCATCACCCCTTCTGCCACCAGGGATCCAAGACAGTCGCTTCATATCCGGGCTTTCTTTGTATTTTTACATAATTTTCTATAATTTAGATGCATTTGTTCATCTTCCATTTTAAGTTTTACATTTACTTATAAATGATATTACCCTTAGAGTTTGTTCTGATGCTTTTCTAGTGTTGACCTCTGAATCGTTCTACTTTCATCTATCAACGAGACATAGGTTCAAATAATTGACTTAATTGGTTTGAGCAAATAGGTATTATGTGAAAAAAAATAATAGAAGTCCAAAGTTGGGCTAAGGCTGGTGCAGATGTTTGGGGGATGTCCTCAAGGGAACGCTCCTTCCAGCGGTCAGTGTTGTGTCCCCTGCCTTAAAAACATCACTGTCCCAGGGGATAGGGCACCTGCAAGTATCATTCACTTGCTTAAGACAGGAAGAAGGGAGAAGCATGTGAAAGAGAGATTTCCAGGCCAGTCTGTCCCCTTCCATTGGGTTAGTGAATACTTTCCCATAAAACAGTTCCAGACAACCTAGGTTTAAAAGAAGCACGCATCAGAATAAAAACAAGAGCAAATGAATTCGATGCCACAAAAATATCTAGGTGGGGAGTATAACTCAGTGATAGAGCACTCATCTAGCAAGTGCAAGAACAGGTCTTCACTCCCTAGCACAAGAAAAAAATTGTTTAAAGGGGAGAAGAGAGAAGGAAGGGAAAGAAAAATAAAGGAAAGGGGGGAAAACAAAAAACCTCATTGTACCTTTAGCCTTCTTTTCTTCATTCTGCCAGGCAGGGAAAACTATTCTTTCTTGCATTCTGATCGATGTGTTTGTAGACATCATTACCATATTTAATCTAATCCAAATAGAATGATGGCTGTTTTCATGTCTACCCATCAGAATGGAGTAGAAAGTTGAGTTTGGAGTTTTTGTTTCCCATTTGTTCATTTGCTCGACATTCTCATTTAGCATGTAGTGTACTCAGACTCGTGGTGATCGTGCAAATAGAGCACGAGCCCTGACCTGCAGGAAACCCTCAGATAGGCAGGCCAGGGGCAGCGGGCCAGTTCTCAAGGTGCTCCTCCGCCTGTCACAGTGACAGCAGTGGGCTGTGAAGAGACCTAGATCCTCTGAATAGTTTTTCTGGTAGGAAAAGTGTCTTTCCCTGGATAAAGAGCTGAATAAAATGAAATCATTTTATGACCATGATTAAGGAGTTCTTTGGCTCTTTCAGCACCCTTGGAGAGGCTACGCTGGTCTGATTCAGACACATATTTTATGCCAGTGTAACAGCTAGATTTGCGAGCCTGAAGAATAAAAGCATAAATCTTTTAAAGCAAGGGTGTCTTGCACATGTTCCAGAGTTGGGGATTTGGCATGGTGCAGGAAAGCTCGGCTGTGGCGTGTCGGTGAAGGCCCTGGCACCTGGAAAGTGACCCTTCCAGCATTGGGACATGCCGGACTTACAAGGCTGTGGTTTTCTGCAAGTCAAAGCAGCACACACGTCTTCAACTCTTCCTTGTGGGTCCTTTAAGTTTGTCTAGTCTGAGAGTTCACAGAGGGAGGGGCACTGAAGCAGCAGTCTTTAACCCTTTGAGCCGAAGACTGCAAAAGTGCACCTGCCCTCGTGTTAGGAACCCTTGGAGAATCCAATGTGCCATTGGCCCGTGTAGCATTTCAGTTCACCCCAGAGAAAGCCTCAGTATACCTGACACTAACTAATACTCTCAGAGAGAAATTTTATGAGAGTTGTTGCCTCCATCTTTCCACACCGGGAGCAAAATGATGAGCCTCGGCTAAAGAACAGATTTGCTTCCAGTCACGCATCTGTGAGCAGAATGTGTTTGAAAGCATCCGATACGTTTGACCTGAGCACTTTTGAAGACTCTGTTCCATGGTAAAGAGATGGCCCATGTGAGGAAGAAGGGTGACCTTCAGATCAAAGTAGGTCTTCGTGGGAATCATGACCCTGCGTCGGGGCTGTCTGGGCTCTGTTAAAATGGAACAGAGCTACATGCCCTGCTCTCCCCTGCCCACTTTTCCACACTTTCAGCGTGTTTCACAGAGCGCTGCGCTTGTTACCACTGGTAAGCAGGCGTTAACGCAGCGTAGTCACTCACAGCCCAAGGTCTAAGTCAGGGTTCATATCGTGCACCCAGCGAGCTTGAACAAGTAATAGTGCCACATGTCTGCCACAGCAGTGTCACAGCCCTAAAAGTCCTCTGTGTCCCGCCTATTCATCCTCCCTCCTCCCAGTGTAATTTTTAACTGCAAGGAAAAAGACTCCAAAAGCAAAGGAAAAAGACAAATGACAAAAGCGTGGAAAATATTTTCAATGCATATCCCAGAAGAAGGATTTTTATCTGTAATATAAAATGAAATAATAGTGGTTGGAAAAATAAAGACTAAAATCATGTTTAAAGGGAGGAAGTGGACCACAGAACTGGATAACTTACAGAAAATGAAAATAGTTCCTAGCCATATGAGAAGATGGTGAATTTTGCATATATTAAAAGAAATGCCAATGAAAACTACAGTGAGATACAGTTTCTCATCTGTGATATTTCCAGACCGTACACGTTCGACCATACATTCTGCAGGTGTGGTTATGGCACAGTTTTAGACGCTTTTCTAAGTTGTGGGTAATGAAAACTGGAACAGCGCCTTTGGAGGACACTTTGGCAGGATTTAGCAAAATGGCGTGTGTGTCATCTTTTCATCTAGCCTGACTTCTAGGAAGCCAACCCAAAGACACAGTGAAAACATACAGAAAGTCTTTACACAAGAAATCTTCATTCCTTTCTGGAGCTACATTGCAGTGATGGGTAACCTGTTGGACATCTGTGTTGTTTGCAGCCTTGTGTTTTCACAGAAAGTCCTGTCTAATCCATGCAGAAAAGCACTGGGTCCTGACATGGGCTGACCTAGAGAAAGCCTTGCAGGATAAGAGGGACGCAGTGGACCCAAGTGTCGGTAGAGGGTGCTGTTGCCGGGCAGTAGCCAGTCTGGCCTGGGTCTGCCCTGGCTGTCGGGGCTGCTGGCTTTGTTTGTCTACCTGCAGTTGACTGAGAGAAAAGCCCAGGAAAGTGGAAAGATGGCTTTCTTTACAATGAGGACAAACTAGGGAGGACAGAGGTCTGCCGCTGCACTGTCAAATGAACGGAAACACACCAGCTCATAGAAGGGGTAAAACGAAAGCAAGGAAGCATCCATTTGTAGATCTAGCCAAGTTCTGGCCCAGAAGGCTGGATGTGTTGAATCCTCCTAGTGTTCGGCCTTGCAGCTTGAGGAAGTTGTAGAAACAGCTATCTTTAATAAAATTCCTATTTGCTAAAGATTTGTTTTGCCCTCTCAGTTACAATAGAATTTATCCAGGCCATGGGGGGATACAAGATGAATTTTTAAAACCAACTTAATATAAAAGAGAACATAAGTGTAACTAAACACAGGCATGGGACAGGAAGAGAATAGGGCAGAGGGGGCAAAGTGGAAGTCAGATTTCTTTGAATTTACTTTGCTTTTGAAATTTTTATAAAATACATTCATATCTTACAAAACTATAAAATAAAACTAACTATAAAGGACAGTATTAAAATAACAATAAAGCAAGGGACTCTAAATGCATATCCAGCTGGTGGTATAATCACACAAAGAGAATTATTCAGAGTGTCTTTTTACAATGTAGTAATTTGTCTGTTTTTCCACAGTGGGACATACCTAAGACCTAAAAAAATGCTGTAAATAAATAATGAACCTTAAAGTGTTTGCAGTAACCTGCTGCTGGTGTTCGTGTTTTATTATTATATGCAGCCCTTGTGCATATATCATTTTAAAAATTGGCCAGCAAGTGCCTGTGTCCCCAGAAGGGCCGAGGGCCCTCCGCCAGTGGCTGGGCTGCTGTAACAGGAAGCAACTTCACCTCGTTCCCAGGTAAGGGAGTAACGTGCCCTGTTCTCTGATTTGTCCCCCAGGTGGCAGCGACAGAAGAGGAGACTCTCCTGGCCAAGGCCCTGGTCCATGGAGAGAAGGAAGGAGGCAGTTTCTTAATTGGTGCCATATACATCAGGTCAAACAATTTTCTTAATTTTTAGAAAACTAGGAGCATGTGAGGCACAGATGGGCCCGGAGGGGAAACACCACATCCTGGCCAGTCATGCTAGGCCGCTGTGCCCAGCTCCACAGAATTCCCCCGAGCAAAGCTTCCCCACAGTCACCAGGGAGGAATATGAAGGGCCAAGAGCAGTAGTATAAAGATAATTATGTGCCTGTGTATAAAATTCCCCGTCATCTGCCCCGGGGTGAGCAAGCTTGTTCCGTCAAGGCCCACATAGTAAATATATTTGCCTTTGCGGCCCTCCAGCATCTCTTCTAACTATCCAGCTCCTCCACACGCAGCGTCATGTAAATGAATGTGTGTGGCTGTGTTCAGTAAAACTTTACTTACAACAGCAGAGGTGCACCACATTCAGCCACAGCCACAATGAGCCGACCCCTTTATCAACACAGGTCTGGGCGCATTTGCACTTTGCCAGCCAGGACTGGGACGCCCCCCAGCAGCCCCCGAGTCCCTCTCATGTATGACGTAATTAAATGGCTGCTGCCGCGGTCACCTAGGCCCGCGCTGTGTGATGTCATTGCACCCACCCACCGACCGGGGTCATTCTACTTAGGAGTCCATGTTCTTCATGGATTTCGTCAGATTAGTACCATGACTGTGACGATTCCTAGAGAGAGAGAGCACGCACGGAGACACCCACAGTTGGCCATCTTGGGCAAGTCTGGTATTCTGTCAGTGACAGAGGAGCCCAGCATGTCTCTGGTAGCCAGGTGTGCGAGGGTTAGTGAGGTGGGTGGCAGACAAGTAGATAAAGATGTCACTGGATTAGTGGGCAGCAGAGCTGCACTGTGGACGTGCGATATGTATATGCCACTCAGAAAAGGATACGAAATCTAGGTACCCTGCGCTAATCTCTCTACATGTACTAAGTGTTTGACATTTTTAGAATCTAGCCTGCATTTCCCTCACCAGTTGTCACTGAAATTGATGGAATGCTAAGACCGGAAGCGCTGAAGTTAGTGATGACCTCAAGCCTTGGCCCATTAAGACTGCTACGACAATAGGAAAGGGAGGAGGGCAGGGGTAAGGGGAAAAAATAAGAACCAAGACCTGTCACATAAAGCTACAAGGTCCCAATGATGAATGTAACTGTACTGTGTACCTTAAAAAGTACCAATAAACTCAATAAGAAAAAAAAAAAAGACCGCTATGACAAACAGGAGGCCTAAAAGCAACATCAACACATTTCTCATGTTCCGGATACTAGAGAGCCCAATACCAAGGCACCAGCACATTTGCCATCTGCTCTGAGTCCTCTTCCTGTGCAGTAGGTGCCTTTTCTTGGTGTGCTTCATGGCAGGAGGTGCAGCCTCTTTTGTAAGGCCATGATGCCATTGTGAGGCCTCCACCTCAAGGCACAGCCCCCTCCCACAGGCCCCGCCTTCTGGAATCATCATCGGCAGGTTGGGTCTCAGCTCATGAGCTTCAGGAACCCAAACATTCAGACCATAGCACCCCTGTCTCATATGGCGCACAGATGCTCAGTTTGGCTTCGGTGGTACAGTGTCTCCCGGGAAGACTGAGGCAGTTGTTCCAGACCGGTCAGCCCTGTGAGCCCTCTTCTCCATTTCCCCACAGATGGATGGTTTCTAGCCTGCTTCCACGCCCCACCTCAGCTGAGTGCTGGGCAGCACTTCTGCATGAGCCTATGACGCTTGATATGGACGCAGTCCTGTCAGACTTTGTTCGGTCCACGGGGGCAGAACCTGGTCTGGCCAGAGACCTGCTGGAAGGTAAGCTGACCTCCCCATGCCGCCACCACCCTCGGCTCTGGATGCTGTCCAGCCAGAGATGGAAGAGTGGACATAGGTGATGGAATTATTTTTGTTATAGCCGTCTTTATTTTGGATATGCGATAGATCCACCAACTCCACAGTAAAAATCCATACGTCACAGAAGAGATTTTTGCCTCATTAATTCTTAAGGATTTTGAGTCAACATTTATCAATAATAATTTTTAAAGAAAATTTATCCAGTGGAGTAGAAATTCTAGAATATTCAAGAAAATTCTTTTATTGGAGACCTTAGCTTCTTTTCTCTATCTCAGCTGACACGAAGATGTTTAGGCCAGTGTTACCAATGGAAAACCACCTGGTAGCCAGTAGAGTAGTTGGAAATCATTCACAAGCAAGAAATCAAAATTTATCTTCTGTCTATAATCTTTTCACATGGTTAGGTCATCTGTTACCATCCATACATATGGTATTTTTCAGTATTTGTCTGTAATCAAAGATAACATTAAACTTCAGTGTCTGTCTCTATGATGGATTTACTTTGTGTAGTTTTGATTTTTTTTTAATTGGTGCTGATGGTGATGGAATGAAGGAAAGGAAAGAACCAGCTAACAAGGCAGATGTCTGAGAGGAGACAGTCGCTCTAATGTTCGCTGGTTGCTTCAGATGTATTAAGCTGCAGTCTGTGGAGTTAATAAACACTTAGTCAAGTATCAGAAAGCCACAACAATTCTCTAAGTTGCTTAGAGGAAATATATGGATCACAAGACATCTTTAGAAATGGAAATAGCCATTTAAAACTATTGAAAATTAAGAGTCACCTATTTATTGGAAGATTATGAGAAGATGGAAATAGCACATTTTTTTGCTTTCAACTTTTTATAATTTTATATCAACTCGGATATTAGGTTAAAATAAGCTCAGAAAGGTTGTGGTACATGTGGCTCGCGCCCAGTCTGCGTGTAGCCTTCTCTTGCCGGCTTCCAGGCGGGAACTTCAGTGAGAGCCGGTGGAGAAACAGGTGTGGAGGGAGTGGGCGGGGGCGGTGAGTCCAAGTCCCACTTGTCGTGAGAGGAACGCTAGGGAATTTCAGCTGTCTTCCCTAGGTGCTGACCTAATTCTCCAGGCAGGGGGTGCAAATGTTCGCCCGAGATATAAAACGGCGGGCAGAGCGGCAGACCTGCAGCGGATCCACCAGAAGGACGGAGGGCCCAGACCCTGCCTGCCGCTGCGGAGCTGTCGCCAGTGCTCGCCTTGCCTGGCTCGAGACGGCCTGCGACAGGAGGAAGAGCTACCTCTTCTCATTTTAACTTTTCCTGTTTAAATGAGGATCAATTAAAATCTGTTTGTGTGCCCTTCAGCGGACTTGTGTGGTTGGTACTATCGGGCTGCAGGACCCCTTCACCGGCTCCCACACTCCGTCCCTCGGTCTGCGGTCTGCGGTGAGCCTCTCCCCACCCTACTCACCGCATCGCCGCTCCTGAGCTGCGTGGGCTCAGGAAGGTCCTATGAGTGCAGTCGCTCAGAGCATCTTCCACTGAGCACAGCTCTGTGAGCTGCGGGTCCAAGTGGTGTCTGGGCAGTTGGTTTCTTTTCATTTCTGAGGTTTGGTGCATCCTGAAAATGGACCACAGTTTGTTGATCCATCCATCTGCAGAAGGACATCCAGTTATCTTCAATTTGGGGTAGTTAAGGCCAGAGTGTGAGGATTTAAGAAGAGGTTTTTTTTGTGAATATAGAGCTGATTTTCCTGGTGTGAATGCACAGGGGTGGGAACGCGGGTGCGTCTGGTGTTTGGTGTTTGCCTGTGTAGGACAGCATTCCCGCCCGCAGCGTGTGACAGGTCCTTGCTCCACATCCTCACCAGCACTTGGTATTTGTTTCTGTTTTTATTTTAGCCACTTTAATAGGTGTATAATAATGTTTCTTTGTGGCCATAACTTCCTTCTCCCTAAGGACTAATGGTGGCGAAGCTTTCTACTGTTATTGTTACCACCCGCGTGTTCTCTCTTGTGAAACATCTGTCCATTTTTTTTGCCCATTGATACTTTGGTTTCTTGTACCTGTGTTTTGAGAGTTCTTCCATATACTGAGTGTGAATCCTTTGTCAAATATGTGATTTGCAAATAGTTTCCCCTAGCGTATGATGGACTTTTCATGCTCTTAACACTCCCTTTTGTGGGGCGGAAGGATTTAGTTTTTATGCAGTCCAAATTGCTGGTGTTCAGTCTCATGTCTGAAGACCTTTTTGTAACTCTGGTTCATAGAGATGTTCTTCTATTATGTTGTTTTGAAATTTTCATACTTTTATGTTTCATATTTAGATCTACGACCCAATGTGAAGTGGTTTTTATATAATGTGTGGGATGTAGGGTGAGGCACATTTGTATGGATACAGATATCCAATAATTCCATAACCATTTTTTAAATGCTGTTCTGTTCTGTTTCTGCATTGAATATGAATTGCCTTTTGCACATTTGTCAGAAACCAACTGACCCTAATTGTAGGGATCTATTTCTTGACACCAGTTCTGTCCATTGATCATTGGGCTAATCCTTTACCAATAGTAACCATATTGATTACTGAAGCTTTGTAGTGAGTCTTAAAACTGGGTCATATGAGTCTTCTAAATTAATTCTTTTTCAAAAGCATTTCAGCTGTTCCATTTCCTTTATCTTTCCATATAAATTGTATGATGACCTTACCTCTATGAAATGTTCTACTGAGATTTTGGTTGGAATTATGTTAAATCGATAAGTCAGTCCTATGATGCACAGAATCTATGGAGGGCAGATATATTTTCTGTTTATTTAGGCTTTCTTTGAGTTCTTTTATCAACATTCTGTGGTCTCTAGCATATAGATCCTATATATGTCTTCTTGGATTTATGTGATGTTAGTGTTTGTGTCTAGATGTCCCCCCAAATCCTCATGTGGTCAGAGGGCTTTTTCAGAGGTGGCTGCATCTTGAGTGTGTGGTGCTGGGATTAACAGTGTGTGATTGTTAAACTGTTACTCTGATTGGTTTGGCACCACCCCAATCCTGGTAGTCTGGATAAGATAAAAAGGGGCAGAGAGACACTGTGAAGGATCCCTTATTGGTTTTGCTGTCTTTTGCCCCCACCATGAGCCGTTGCCCCTCTGCCACACCACCCTGCCTTGGAGCCAGCCGATTATGGACTGAAACCTCTGCAAACTGTGAGCCAAATAAACCTTTCCTCCTTTAATTTAGGGTGTTGGGTATTTTGCATCAGCAGTGACAGTAAAGTAACTACCACATGTGTATTTTGTTTATTGAACAAATGGAATTTTTAGATTTTCAGTTTTCAACATTTGATTGCTATTATGTAGAAACATAACTTACTTTTATTGGTCAGTGTATCCTGAAAGTTTACTAAAGCTAAACTTAATTATTTGTTCTAGGAGGGCTCTTTGTGTGTATTCCTTAGTATTTTCAAAATATATAATAATGCTGTCTCTGAATAGGGACAGTTTTAGCTCTTACTCTCCAAACATACACATTTTCATTTTTCTTCACGTTAAGTGGCTTCCTAGGAGTTCCAGTGAAAGTTTGAGGGAAATGGTTGCCCTGCCCTTGACTGATCACAGGGGAAGCATCCGGTCTTCACCACTGAGTAGAATGGGGCTGTAGGCTTGTGTAGATGCTCTGGTCGGTGGAAAGAAATTCCTTCTCTATTCCTGCTTTACAGTATTCTTCCCAGTATGTTGATATGATCACGTGGGGTTTCCGCCTTTAAAATACCAACATTCTAGATTACACCGATCATCTTTGCCTAGTAAAGCAAACTTTCAGCCGTTTCTTTAAATGTTTTTCTGCTGTACATTTTCCCCTCTCCTGGAGGGGGATGATACCACAGCTTGGCCTTCTGTTCCTGTCCTGCAGGTTCCTATCGTCCTTTTTACTTCCTGTCACAATACCTTTTCATATATTATTCATATTATATCATTCCTATTGATACGTTTGTAAATGTATGCATGCTTTCCTCCCATCATTTGAGTTCTGTCGAGGCCACCCAATGAGGTCCTCTTAAAATTCTAGTTGTCAATTTTTTAAATTTCTAGCATGTCTCCTTGGCTCTTCCGTTCCTTTGCTGAGACTTTTACACTGTTCCCTCCCAGGGTACCCATTGAGATTTCTGTGGTTGGATTATTTTGTGCGCTTTCTGTTTGCTTTTTTTGTTTGGTTGGTTGGTTTTTTGTTTTGTTCTGGATACTGAGTACGTTTAAATTAGGATATGTTGAAAATTACACTTTGATATTCTTTGTTAAACTCTTACAGCAGATGTTACCATTTTTGTTTCTGAAAAGGTCGTCTCGCCTAGACCTCCAGACTTCTGAGGATGGCCATTCGAAGGGCAGGTCTCCCAGGTGTGCTTTGAGTCTGTCTCACTCGTCTGCCACCTAGTGGCCAGTCTGGGAATTTGACAGCAGCCTTGCCTAGTTCAGTGCTGAAGTCTCAACCTATTAGGGCCAGATCCATGCATTTGCAACTAAGGAATACAAACCTGAGTGTTCATAAACCTCTTCAAAGAGCTGCTTTCCCATGCTTCTGCCTGATCCCAGTCTTCTCACTGTAGGCTCTACTTTTGCGGTCCTCCAGCCAGCTTTGGTAATTAGGGCCTTGTTTTCCTTGCTGCTGGCGCATTTGACTGGACTGCAACACGGCACCAGAAGAGAGAAGGAACGAGGCTTCCTCCACCTTCTGGTGCCCACCGATGCCAGCCAGAGTCTCCTGTTGCTGTCACATTGTTGCTTGAGGTCTAGGTCCCAGCAAACTAGGGGAGGTGGAAGTAACAGAAGAAGAAAAAGAGAAATGGGTGTTGCCACGTTCTCTTCGCATGAGAGACCCTTGTCCTGTGCCCTGAGCTGGAGCTGGAGGGCTGTGCCTGCAAGGAGCCCACCCGCTTCTGGGTTTGGGGCAGCACTGAATTCACAGCTCAGACCCTGGGTGGGAGAAAACATGACAAGATCCCTACTGG